TCCGATCTACAGCCCAACCCCGGACGCAAAAACGAGAGTCTCCTTCGGATTCGATCACCGTGAAGCTCACAGGCAGCACTATCACCTTCTCTGCCCATGGTTACTTCTGATCTAAATGTTTCTACTCATTTAGGTTCATTTTACAGTCTGCCGTAACCCACCAACACTGTCTCGAGCATGTACACCGTTTGTTCCTCAGTGTTCATTCTTCGTTTAAACTAGCTTCATTTAGGACGGGTGATATAGATCAAAGGTATGAAATAGTCACAGAGGATGAGAACCTAGCAAAACTCACTTCTCTCTAAGTTGTGCTTGACTTCGCTCATCACAGAAATGAGACATGGTTAAAGTGAGCTTCTGAACCTCGTTCAACATGGCTTGATTGTCAGACCAGCGATCCAAAAGTGAAAGCAGAACGAGATTAAAAGCACCACCGGAGGCTAAAAATCGAATGTCTTCCGTGACCTCTTTTAACTAGAAGAATAAGAAAAAATGGAAAAATAATAATTACGTTTGCAACCCGAGCACACTTCAATTACCTATCGTCACTTTAAAACTGCTTCTAGCATTCTACCTATTTCCTCCACTTCATCACTAAAGTGGGCAGCCAAAAGACAGCAACCGAAACTACCACGTGAAATTGCGATTCAGGATACGAGAGAAAGCATGGTAGATATCCAAACCGGCGGAGAAAATGATCTATTAGGTTCTTTTATCCACATCTACGTTAAAGCTGAAGTTCAACCTGTTGCCCATTCTGTTACAGACACAAATTTAGCAACGCGCCTGCCAACTAATTGTATGACCAAAGAACTGTATGTAGTCGGGGATATCAGAACAGCCGATTCACGTGGGGTGATTGGATGACAGATGTCCTCTGGTAGGGGGAAAGGTGGTCCACGGTTATTCAGCAGACCTCATCTGTGTGATGTGATAGATAGAAGGGCGCCATTTCAATGAACCACGACTCTATGATGTAGATAAGACAAACACCTAGAGTAATTCAAAAAGGAGATAACATGTACATGTGTCTCCGCTTGCGATACAATTAGTCATAAAACTAATGTGGATATCCAGAATGAGAAGCAACGACTAGGGGTGATCGGGCGGATTACATTGGAGGACAACTCTGCTTGCTTGGTCCTAGTATGGTTACTGTGGCAGTGAGAGCTACACTTCGACAGGCTATTTTTACATGGATCAAACGACTCTAAATAAAGTTCAACTCCACGGATAAGGGATCACAAACATCTGGATGAGAAAAGATATGCCACAAGCTAAGCGACTCATTCAAAACCAGCAGTGGTGCACATCAATTGTGCTTTATTTTTCCGTTTTTGTGCACTATCGTCGCACGAAAGACAGAATACCTTAAGTAGTGTTCAAAATTGTGGTATTTTTGGTATTGAATAGGTCTCCAGAGGAAAGTTACTCAGCTTGGAGCACAGTGACAACATCGCACGATGAGGTGAAAGTCTGCAACACGATAGCAGAGGAGTGCGCTGTGTTTCAACACGATATAACAAAATCTNCAAAATCTCCGCCACTTAACATCACAAAGTGCAAGAAAGAGAAAATAGAACAAGTTTTAGGCTTCCGTATCTTTCAAAAGGAAACCTGATTACCAAGGCATTGTGGACTAATTTACGGATTAGTGATTCGAATTGTTGGCATCTGTCTTGACAGTGAACTGCTAGAAGAGTATGTGGACAAAAGAGTTAGGCGGCTGAAAATGAGAAATTGATGTCCAAGGCTCGACAAGAAATAAGACTGCGAAACACTAATGCTTGAAGTTTAGTGTTTCATAACTAGTGACGATCTCCCAAAAGAAAACGAAATTACCATAGTTATGTAGGTACGTTCGTGGATAAACTTAATTCCGACAAACTTCTTTGTTTACGAAAATGGTGTGCCATATTGGTAGCCCATTACAATTCCTTGATCTATCGAAACAAGGATGTGCACAAAACAATTCCACAACACTCACAAGAAGCCTGCAATCCCTCACGGTCCCGATTTGCGACGCATCCGCAGTCGGTTCACTCCCATCGACATCCATCGTCTGTTCCGTTTCGTTGACGCCTGGTTTATTCTCGTCAGCAGCGCCAGATAGCAAGTTCAGTTTGGGTAGTATACGAGATTTGAAAAAATCGGCAGCATTGGCTTCCAATTTCAACAATTCCAAATGGAGCGCATCACATTCTGGGTTCAGGGTGATGCCTTCCGTTAGCAGACGACGCGCTTCTCGAATGGCAGTCAGATAGACTCGATCGGCGATAATACGACGTTGAAAGTTCAAAGAGGTGGTGGCCTTTTGCAGTTTGGCACGCGTTCTGTCTGAAACGTGGGACAGGAGAAAACGGGTCAGTAGTCAGCATGCTTTCTCTCCCTGATACAAATGACAAGGAGTAGTTTGAAGCGAGGCTTCATAATCAGTGCAGCACATTTAAAAACGAAAACCACAGTTAAATTCCAACAAGTATATAAAGTGGTAGTTAAGCATCATGGACCAGCATCAAACACATCCGGAGGTCACGCGGTTGAATTCCATCACCGCTGTCCTATTTATCCCTTAGCAGCTGTCCGTTAATAACGCCCCCTAAGTTCGGAAAATTAATTGAGGAATTACTCAGTAAAAGAGGGAGGGATTATTAACATTATTATTATTATTCAGCAGTCTTTTCGTAGTTGGAAAACTCGTCTGACTCATTGGAAATGTATAAGGCAAGACTAACCTCGGAATTTCATACTTATATTTCACACGTCTGAGGCCAAAATGTGTCAAGCAAATGGCAGTACAAAAATGCTTACAAAAAAGTGGGTGGAATACTGCTAGGTTGCCCCGGTTAAGACAAGTGAATTTTCTTCGGGAATTCACAACCAGAGCCTTTGACTGGCCAAAGTATGACCCGCAAGGTATGGGCGGTGTGAAAACCGCAATCCATTGGTCGCCGGTGTTCAGTTCGTCATATCATACACCCTTTAGATGGGATCAAACGTTCAACACACCTCGATGTCCAATTGAGCCGGGGATTAATGAAAAACAATGGAAGTACGTGGTTCGTACGTCTCTTGTTGGTTGGCTTGGAATCAGTGCTATAGCCCCGGATGTTAACATTTCCTCCTCTCACTTTGGTGGGCAAAGACCTCCACCACGGGAAAGCGCTGAGTAGGGCTTCCTCAGCAGAGACTGTTCGAGGCGCTTGGTCGTATAGGAGCATATAGTAAGGTACAAAAGAAAGGTGATTGGTCACAACCCGAGACAGCCAACCCCGACTATACTGAGGCTTCCGGAATTCTCGCTCTCCGATGCAGACGTTCAATTTATTCGCGAGCCTGATAAAAACAATTCAATTGCTGAGAACGTCTGCGGAGTGTTGTGAAAATTGGAGTTGAATTATCCTCCAGAAGATGATAGACATGAAATCGTAAAGTAAATAAGTGCAACCAAAAGAGTAAGACGCAAACCGCAGTGAAGCTGCCAACCCGGAGGGCCATGAGACTGAACTGTGTTCTACTTGTATCCTCGGACCCATTCGGGAACGAGTAAATTTTTAACTTAATAAAAGCCATCCCTTTAGTCTCTCAAAAACAGAGAAACCTGACAACAAAGAACAGTGAGTAGAAAAATTCCCAGAAAACATTTTCGGAGAAACAATTTGTGGGAGTATTTATTGGGGGGGAGGGAGAACAATCATGGAGAAAATAGAGCCTTTTCAAGTTGCATACGGTGCGCGAAAATTGTGCGGTTACATATTGAAAATT